GACACAGAATTGTTACTGAGGGACAACAGAATTGTTACTTAGGGCCACAGAAACTGTTACTTAGGGCCACAGAAACGTTACTTAGGGCCACAGAAACGTTACTTAGGGCCACAGAAACGTTACTTAGTGCCACAGAATTGTTACTTAGGGACAGACACAGAATTGTTACTGAGGGACACAGATTTGTTACTGAGGGCCACAGAACCGTTACTTAGGGCCACAGAAACGTTACTTAGGGACCACAGAATTGTTACTCAGGGACACAGACAGAATTGTTACTCAGGGAACAGACACAGAATTGTTACTGAGGGACACAGAATTGTTACTGAGGGACACAGAATTGTTACTGAGGGACACAGAATTGTTACTGAGGGAACACAGGTTACAGACACAGAATTGTTACTCAGGACAGACACAGAATTGTTTTGAGGGACACAGAATTGTTACTGAGGGACAGAATTGTTACTGAGGGACACAGAATTGTTACTCAGCGACAGACACAGGACACAGAATTGTTACTCAGGGGACACAGAATTGTTACTGAGGGGACACAGAATTGTTACTGAGGGACACAGAATTGTTACTCAGGGACACAGAATTGTTACTGAGGGACACAGAATTGTTACTCAGGGACAGACACAGAATTGTTACTCAGGACAGACACAGAATTGTTACTCAGGGACAGACACAGAATTGTTACTCAGGGAGACACAGAATTGTTACTGAGGGACACAGAATTGTTACTGAGGGACACAGAATTGTTACTGAGGGACACAGAATTGTTACTGAGGGACACAGACACAGAATTGTTACTCAGGGACCACAGAATTGTTACTGAGGGACACAGAATTGTTACTGAGGGACACAGAATTGTTACTCAGGGGACACAGAATTGTTACTCAGGGACAGACACAGAATTGTTACTGAGGGACACAGAATTGTTACTGAGGGACACAGAAATTGTTACTGAGGGACACAGAATTGTTACTCAGGGACAGGACACAGAATTGTTACTGAGGGACACAGAATTGTTACTGAGGGACACAGAATTGTTACTGAGGGACACAGAATTGTTACTCAGGGACACAGAATTGTTACTGAGGGACACAGAATTGTTACTGAGGGACACAGAATTGTTACTGAGGGACACAGAATTGTTACTGAGGGACACAGAATTGTTACTCAGGGACACAGAATTGTTACTGAGGGACACAGAAATACTCAGGGACACAGAATTGTTACTCAGGACAGGGACACAGAATTGTTACTCAGGGACAGACACAGAATTGTTACTCAGGGACACAGAATTGTTACTCAGGGACACACAGAATTGTTACTGAGGGACACAGAATTGTTACAGGGACACAGAATTGTTACTCAGGGACACAGAATTGTTACTCAGGACAGACACAGAATTGACAGGGACACAGAATTGTTACTCAGGGACACAGAATCGTTAATTTTAATTAAAGAGTATGTCAGACAACATGCAGAGGAGTGGCAGAGGAGGCAATGTTTTAGGAGCGAGCAGACGTGGCAGCAGAGGAAGGGGTCGAGGCAGCACTAGTCGCAGCCAGAGGCCAGTGCTCCCGGTGTCATCCAGCGGTCGTGTCTCCACCGACAACCCTGCCGTCATCGATTGGTTGGCTCGGTCGTCTTCCTCTTCCCAGGTCACCTCTGACACCTACAGCCAACGGTCGGTGGGTACGTCAGACACAACCGTTAGTTGTTGGCATGGCCCGGGAGCAAGCCCACTGAAATCACGTGTCCTCTACCTGCCCCTGTCCTTTGGTGTTCCCTCACCAAGCGAAGTATCGCATGCTGTGGGCTCAGCCCCACTGTACAGTGAGGAAGAGCTAACAGAGGGCGGTCAGGAACGGGGGGAGACATCCGCCTCTTCAGCAGCCAGGCGAAGAAGTAGTGGCGAGGAGAGATGGCTCGGTAGCCGGTCTAGAGACAGGTCTGTCTCCTGACCCACACGCAGCCGAGGGGGCTAGTAGTGAGGCGGAGACCCTAATTGATGATGATGAGGCTGATCGCACTTGGCAGCCTCGTCGTCATCAGGCTATTGCTTCCGCATCATCAGGAGAAGAGGGTGGCAGCTTGGCAGCGAGCAAAACAGTCGGTGGGTTGCCCAGGAGGCAGCAGGGTCGCAGCAGCAGTGTCAGTGGAGGCAAACGGCCACGGAGTACAGCACCAGCTCCACTGCAGCCTACCACCACGGCCAGTAGTGGTGCCGGTGTGCACGGAGGAAGTAGCAGTCAGCCAGTGAGGAGTATCGGGGGCAAAGTTTCCTACTCGGCGGTGTGGCAATTTTTTTGTCAAGCCGCCCGAGGAAGTAAACGTAGCCGTATGTCGACTATGTGGCCAGAAAGTCAAGCGTGGCCAGGGGGCCCATGTTGGGACTACAGCGTTGCGTCAGCATATGCAGCGTCGCCATTTGGTGGCCTGGGAAAACCGTGATAAAGATACGGCGGTTCTGCCTGCCCCAGCCCCCGCTCCATCACCCGCTCCGTTACTTGCTCCGTCACCCGACGTCAATCGCCCTCTATCAGCCAGTCAAGGCTCCAACACCTCTGCTGAGGGGAGTTGTCGCTCGTTGGCATCTTCCGCTCGTTCAGATGCTCCTTCTCCTGCTACTCCTCTTCACGGATTCCGTCAGCAGTCTTTCTTGGAATCCGTTTCCAAGAGACAACAGTTTGCGAGCACGCACCCGACGGTGCAAAAGCTGAACGTCCTCCTGTCCAAGTTGCTGGTGCTGCAGTCCCTCCCTTTCCAAGTGGTGGACTCAGCACCTTTCCGAGAAATGATGGCTTGTGCCGCGCCGCGGTGGAGAGTGCCAAGCCGTCATTTCTTCGCCGCCAAAAAGGCAGTGCCAGCCCTGCATTACATGTAGAAGAGATGGTGGGCCAGTCTTTGAGCATGTCGGTCTCTGCCAAAGTGCACGGCAGCGCCGACGTGTGGAGCTGTAACTACGGTCAGGGACAGTACATGTCATTTACGGCCCACTGGGTGAACGTGGTGCCGGCACAGCCGCACCAGCAACTTGGACAGGTCACGCCGCTTTTGCCTCCACGTTTGCACGTCCTTGGTCCGGCAAAGATGTCCGCCTCTACCACCTCTTCTTCCGCCGTGTCCTCAGCCGCCACCCCCGTGCCAAGTCCCATTACCCGACCGGCATATCACATGTGCAGGGCGCAACGGTGTCACGCTGTGCTGCACCTGGTATGCCTTGGCGAACGTAGTCACACAGGGGAGGAACTTCTCAGTGTAATGAACAGAGAAATCGACAGATGGCTGTCTCCGCGCAAACTGAAAATCGGAACCATGTTGACCGACAACGGAAAGAACATGGTGTCTGCTCTGCGTCAAGGAAGGTTGTGCCATGCGCCATGCATGGCTCACGTGTTCAATCTGGTTGTCAAGCGGTTCCTAAAATCCACCATCCCACTGCAAGACATCCTTAAAATGTCACGTAAACTTTGCATGCATTTCAGCCATTCCTACACCGCAAAGCACACCCTCCTTGAGCTGCAGCGGGCAGAACGGAATTCCACAGCATCGCCTGATCTGCGACGTTGCAACAAGGTGGAATTCAACCCTACACATGTTAGACCGCCTTTACGAACAGCGAAAGGCCATCACCGATTTCCTGATGTTACAAGCGGATAAAGGTACTCCCCTGTGTAACTTCGATGTCAGCCATTGGCAGCTCATGCGTGACACCTGCCGCTTGCTCAGGCCCTTTGAGGAGGCCACGCTATTTGTGAGTCGGCAGGACTATGGGATGAACGACGTCATTCCTCTGTTGCACACGTCCTGGAACAAATGCTGTTAACAATGGCTGGTCAGGGTGCGGTGTAGACGTGGCGCACAGATCTCAACGCCACATGACCCCTGTGGGGGCAGGACAGGAAGAAGAGGAGGAGGTAGAGGAGGACATTTGTGCTCAGGAATTATTGAGTGAAATGGGTGGTTTTTCCACTCAGCGGACAGGAGTGGAGGAGCAGGAGCATCTGGTAGAGGAGGAGGAGGAGGAGGAGACAGAGGACCCAGACGCACCGTGGCAGTATGCTGTGGAGATGGAGGCAGGGAGTCCCTCGCATTCCTTGGCACAAATGGCCCATAGCATGCTCGGTTGCTTGCGTAGCGACAGCCGAATAATAACCATCAGACAGAGGGATGACTTTTGGCTGTCCACCTTGTTGGACCCTCGCTACCGTTCAAAAATGGTGGCCTTTTTCACACCTGCTGAGAGGGAGGCCAAAATAACGTACTATAAAAACCACCTATGTAGTCAGTTGGTCTCTGCCTTTGTGCGCCAACGTCCATCCTCAGACACTGTGGGGCCCTGTGCGCTCGCGTTCCGCTGCCATGGCAGCAGGGGAGGGGGGGGGTGGGGTGGTAGGAGCAGTGGCAGCTCCACCAGCAGCGGCTGCCTCAGTCTGCAGTCGATGATGAGTAGCTTTCTTCACCAGCGCAGTGAGGGAAACTACTAACCAGCCGCAGCAGCAGCAGCATCAGGTGGACCTGGAGCAGGACCTCAAACAACAGGCTTGGGCCTACTTGGACAGCACCCTGCCAACCGAGGTAGACAATCCCCTTGACTACTGGGCAACGAAACTTGACCTTTGGCCCCCAACTAGCTGAATTTGCCCTTGAAAGGCTGTCATGCCCGGCCAGTAGCGTGGCATCGGAGCGCGTGTTTAGTGCGGCAGGAGGTATTGTAACTCCGCGGAGGACACGACTGTCCACCCAAAGTGTGGAGAGACTCACGTTTGTGAAAATGAATCAGGCGTGGATTAGTCTGGATTTCAAACCACCAGTTCCTGACACAACTGACTAAATCCGCCATGAATCATGCCCCAAACATGTGCCACTTTCAGGTCTCCTCACACTGCTGGTGTGTTCCATTTTTTGTCATAGGGTGCTGGCAGATTACGGGCCTCCCATAGCTGCTGCCAGGCCCCTAATCTGCCATGGGCCCCTGTACCGCCTCCTCATGCTGCTGCCAGGTCCAGAGTCTCTCATGGGTCCCTGTACGGCCTCCCATTGCTGCTGTCTCCATCGCCACACTCTGCCATGTGCCACTTTCAGGTCTCCTCACACACTGCTGGTGTGTTCCATTTTTTGTCATAGGGTGCTGGCAGATTACGGGCCTCCCATAGCTGCTGCCAGGCCCCTAATCTGCCATGGGCCCCTGTACCGCCTCCTCATGCTGCTGCCAGGTCCACAGTCTCTCATGGGTCCCTGTGCCTCCCTTGCAGGTCTCCATCGCCACACTCTGCCATGTGCCACTTTCAGGTCTCCTCCACTGCTGGTGTGTTTTTTGTCATAGGGTGCTGGCAGATTACGGGCCTCCCATAGCTGCTGCTGCCAGGCCCCTAATCTGCCATGGGCCCCTATACCGCCTCCTCATGCTGCTGCCAGGTCCAGAGTCTCTCATGGGTCCCTGTACGGCCTCCCATTGCTGCTGTCTCCATCGTCTCCCACACTCTGCCATGTGCCACTTTCAGGTCTCCTCACACTGCTGGTGTGTTCCATTTTTTGTCATAGGGTGCTGGCAGATTACGGGCCTCCCATAGCTGCTGCCAGGCCCCTAATCTGCCATGGGCCCCTGTACCGCCTCCTCATGCTGCTGCCAGGTCCAGAGTCTCTCATGTGTCCCTGTACGGCCTCCCATTGCTGCTGTCTCCATCGCCACACTTGCCATGTGCCACTTTCAGGTCTCCTCACACTGCTGGTGTGTTCCATTTTTTGTCATAGGGTGCTGCTGGCAGATTACGGGCCTCCCATAGCTGCTGCCAGGCCCCTAATCTGCCATGGGCCCCTGTACCGCCTCCTCATGCTGCTGCCAGGTCCAGAGTCTCTCATGGGTCCCTGTACGGCCTCCCATTGCTGCTGTCTCCATCGCCACACTCTGCCATGTGCCACTTTCAGGTCTCCTCACACACTGCTGGTGTGTTCCATTTTTTGTCATAGGGTGCTGGCAGATTACGGGCCTCCCATAGCTGCTGCCAGGCCCCTAATCTGCCATGGGCCCCTGTACCGCCTCCTCATGCTGCTGCCAGGTCCAGAGTCTCTCATGGGTCCCTGTACGGCCTCCCATTGCTGTGTCTCATCGCCACACTCTGCCATGTGCCACTTTCAGGTCTCCTCACACTGCTGGTGTGTTCCATTTTTTGTCATAGGGTGCTGGCAGATTACGGGCCTCCCATTGCTGCTGCTGCCAGGCCCCTAATCTGCCATGGGCCCCTATACCGCCTCCTCATGCTGCTGCCAGGTCCAGAGTCTCTCATGGGTCCCTGTACGGCCTCCCATTGCTGCTGTCTCCATCGCCACACTCTGCCATGTGCCACTTTCAGGTCTCCTCACACTGCTGGTGTGTTCCATTTTTTGTCATAGGGTGCTGGCAGATTACGGGCCTCCCATTGCTGCTGCCAGGCCCGTAATCTGCCATGGGCCCCTGTACCGCCTCCTCATGCTGCTGCCAGGTCCAGTGTCTGTACGGCCTCCCATGCTGTCCATCGCCACACTCTGCCATGTGCCACGGCCTCCTCCATTGCTGCTGTTCCATTTTTTGTCATAGGGTCGCTGGCAGTGTCAGTTACGGGCCATAGAGCACCAGCTCCACTGCAGGCCCTCCACCATGGGCCCCTGTACCGCCTCCTCATGCTGCTGTGTGGTCACGGAGTTTCATGGGTCCCTGTAGGCCTCAGCAGTGAGGAGTAGCGGGGGCAAATTTTTTCCTATTCGGCTGGCAGATTGCTGGTGTGGCATTTTTTGTCAAGCCGCCCGAGGAAGATTACGTAGCCGTATGTCCTATGCTGCTGCCAGAAAGTCAGCGTGGCCATGGGCCCTGTTGGGCCTCCAGCGTTGCGTGCATATGCAGCGTCGCCATTCGCCACACTCTGCCATGGAAAACCAGATAAAGATACGGCGGTCTCTGCCTGCCCTGCCCAGGTGGTTCCATTTTTTTGTCATAGGGTGCTGGCAGATTACGGGCCTCCCATTGCTGCTGCCAGGCCTTAATCTGCCATGGGCCCCTGTACCGCCTCCTCATGCTGCTGCCAGGTCCCAGTCTGTCATGGGTCCCTGTACGGCCTCCCATTGCTGCTGTCTCCATCGCCACACTCTGCCATGTGCCACTTTCAGGTCTCCTCACACTGCTGGTGTGTTCCATTTTTTGTCATAGGGTGCTGGCAGATTACGGGCCTCCCATTGCTGCTGCCAGGCCCGTAATCTGCCATGGGCCCAGTACCGCCTCCTCATGCTGCTGCCAGGTCCACAGTCTCTCATGGGTCCCTGTACGGCCTCCCATTGCTGCTGTCTCCATCGCCACACTCTGCCATGTGCCACTTTCAGGTCTCCTCACACTGCTGGTGTGTTCCATTTTTTGTCATAGGGTGCTGGCAGATTACGGGCCTCCCATAGCTGCTGCCAGGCCCCTAATCTGCCATGGGCCCCTGTACCGCCTCCTCATGCTGCTGCCAGGTCCAGAGTCTCTCATGGGTCCCTGTACGGCCTCCCATTGCTGCTGTCTCCATCGCCACACTCTGCCATGTGCCACTTTCAGGTCTCTCTCACACTGCTGGTGTGTTCCATTTTTTGTCATAGGGTGCTGGCAGATTACGGGCCTCCCATTGCTGCTGCCAGGCCCCTAATCTGCCATGGGCCCCAGTACCCGCCTCCTCATGCTGCTGCCAGGTCCACAGTCTCTCATGGGTCCCTGTACGGCCTCCCATTGCTGCTGTCTCCATCGCCACACTCTGCCATGTGCCACTTTCAGGTCTCCTCACACTGCTGGTGTGTTCCATTTTTTGTCATAGGGTGCTGGCAGATTACGGGCCTCCCATAGCTGCTGCCAGGCCCCTAATCTGCCATGGGCCCCTGTACCGCCTCCTCATGCTGCTGCCAGGTCCAGAGTCTCTCATGGGTCCCTGTACGGCCTCCCATTGCTGCTGTCTCCATCGCCACACTCTGCCATGTGCCACTTTCAGGTCTCCTCACACACTGCTGGTGTGTTCCATTTTTTGTCATAGGGTGCTGGCAGATTACGGGCCTCCCATTGCTGCTGCCAGGCCCGTAATCTGCCATGGGCCCCCGTACCGACTCCTCATGCTGCTGCCAGGCCCGTAATCTGTCATGGGCCCCTGTTGTCGCTTTGTTGGCATATTCCGCTCGTTCAGATGCTCCTTCTCCTGCTACTCCTCTTCACGGATTCCGTCAGCAGTCTTTCTTGGAATCCGTTTCCAAGAGACAACAGTTTGCGAGCACGCACCCGACGGTGCAGAAGCTGAACGTCCTCCTGTCCAAGTTGCTGCTGCCAGGCTCGTAATCTGTCATGCGCCCCTGTACCGCCTCCTCATGCTGCTGCCAGGTCCAGAGTGTGTCATGGGCCCCCGTACCGACTCCTCATGCTGCTGCCAGGCCCGTAATCTGTCATGGGCCCCTGTACCGCCTCCTCATGCTGCTGCCAGGTCCAGAGTGTGTCATGGGTCCCTGTACGGCCTCCCATTGCTGCTGCCAGGCCCGTAATCTGCCATGGGCCCCCGTACCAACTCCTCATGCTGCTGCCAGGCCCGTAATCTGTCATGGGCCCCTGTACCGCCTCCTCATGCTGCTGCCAGGTCCAGAGTGTGTCATGGGTCCCTGTACGGCCTCCCATTGCTGCTGTCTCCATCGCCACACTCTGCCATGTGCCACTTTCAGGTCTCCTCACACTGCTGGTGGTTTCCATTTTTGTCATAGGGTGCTGTATGGCCTCCCATTGCTGCTGCCTCCACCGCCACACTGTGGCTCCACACTCTGGTTTTGGCCCCGTGACTGCCCAAATGAGTGAAGTGTGCGGTGATTCTAAGATCGACGGCACTCATCTGCATGTCATACTGACTCTCAGTATTATTTCTCTTCCCCAGCAGACTCCAAGGGCATTTAAATTAAAGGTACAGTGTTCTGCACTAATATAAAGGCTCTCTGAAGCCTAGAAACACCCTTTTATAAGTTAAATTCGCAGCGAATATATTCGACTCGAATCGAAATTTTTTCACGAATTCGTCGAATCGAATTTTTGAATAATTCGCTCATCTCTAATTGTTACCCTTCCTAAGCCAGGGAAATCTTTGGACCGCCCACAAAACTTTAAGCCCATCTCATTACTAAATTCGGAGCTTAAAGTTACGCTAAAATTTTAGCGACCCCACCTCCTTGGTATAACTCCTCTCCTGATTTGGGCTGATCAAGTGGGCTTTGTTAAAAGTAAACAGGCTCCGGATGGCACTCGTAGAATACTGGATTTGATGCATTTAATCGAATCTCATGGATCTTAGGCGGTGTTCTTGGCCTTGGACGCTGAGAAAGCTTTTGACAGGGTTCACTGGCGTTACTTAGACGCTACGTTACTCAAGTTTGACATTAATGGATATATAAAATCGGCTATTATGGCACTTTATACTGTCCCCACTGCTCAGGTTTTCACGTCCAATGCAATGTCGGAACCTTTTAGCAATTCTAATGGAACACACCAAGGCTGTCCATTATCTCCCAATATCTTCTCCCTAGTAATGGAACTATTAGCAACGGCGATTCGTGATAATACACAGGTCTCGGGTATTCGTGTAGCGGACACTTTCCATAAAATTGGTTTATTTGTGGACGATGTTATACTCACTGTTACTGACCCAATGAACTCCCTTACAGAGGATTCTTCATCCTTGCCGTTCTTCAGTGAAGTCTCTTATTATAAATTTAACACTACGAAATCATCTGCCCTACCGATAGCTATAACGAAAAATCTTTTAAAAGAGCTTAAAGCTAAGTTCGCTTACAGCTGGACTCAGAAAAAACTAGACTACCTCGGTATAATTATTTCGTCTCCAGCTTCCAATACCTTTAAGGATAATTTCGAAAAGCTATGCCAGTCTGTTTTATCGGAACTACAGCGACTCGATAAATTTGAAATATCTTGGATAGGCAGAATAGCAGCTTTTAAGATGCTGGGTTCTTCCCAAAATATTATACTATTTTCGAACGATTTCAATTGTGATCCCCCATGCTTATTTTAATAAATTGGAGGCGGCTATTAGAAATTATATTTGGCAAGGGAGGAGATCGAGAATCTCCTTCCTGTCCTTTTCTAAACATAAGTCTAAAGGGGGGATCGGCCTCCCAGTGCTTTCCAGTTATTACTATGCCTCTATTTTGGACCAACTTCCTGAGTGGTTCACCCCCTCAGACAAATTTATGGGTACAAATCGAGAAATCTGCAGTACCTGACAGAGATCTTCGGGCTCTAGTATTGGCTAAATCTTCCCATCCCAAAGTCCTCAATACATTTCCTCCATCCATCACCGCATTGCTTGCGGCATGGTTATTTGGCGTAAATAAACTAAATTCCTCTTCCTCTAAGATCCAAATAGATATTACCCTCTCAGCGTATGAACACTTTATCTCTAATTTCAACACCAGGCTTCTACGGGAGTCAGGCTACAATACTTTTACGGAAATAGGGAATACCAACCCTAGTAGAAGTCTACACTCCCTTTTGCAGTTT